TTTTCGTCCCTTCCCCCCCCCCCCCCCCACCTACACACTACTACTTTTTTTTTTTTTTTCATTGGTACGTGCTGGTTAGCTCTTTGTTGTTTTTCCCCCTTTTATTGCGGCTCAGATTTTATTCTTCTCTCTCGGTTTTTTTTTCCGTTGTTGTTTTTTTTAAATGTCCACTGACGGTCGTCATTGTGTACAAAGTCTTTGTCTTCTTTTTTTTTCTTTGTTGTGTTGCTTTCTCCTTCTTACGCCAGTGGTGGGCGTTGATCTCTCCTCGCCCCTGATGGTGATGACGCTATCCCGTGTGTGTCCTCCTCAGTCACCATCGCATTCGTGGGAATACCCCCTTCTTACTTCCTCTGCTTCTGTGGATGTCTGCGCCTGTGCCTGTGTGTGTGTGTCTTGGGGTGGCCGTGGATTTATCCATGCAGCTTTGCCGGCAGCTCACGCAGCTGGGCGTTTGTGGATGCCCATGCGCCGGTGCCGCTTTTTGTGCTTCTCCCCCTTCTGCGTCCATGTGACGCATCCCTCGTTCCGTTGCCTTTGCGGCTGCCTCCGTTGGGAGGGGTGGGAGGTAGTTTTCCTTCCGGGCGCTAGGGGGCGCTTCGCCGCGGGTTGCCGCAAGCTTTTTGTTGTTGTTGCTTTTCCACCTACCCGTTAATTTGCCTGTTGCTCCGTCGCTGCTGGCCGGGCTCAGTGGCGGGATACGGTTGCGGCGGAGAAGAGGGTGAGGGGGCGGGTGATGTGCTCCGAAGCGCAGCAGTTGGGTATGAATGAACGGGTGCGGTGAGGCCTCTCATGAGAGGACGAAGCAGAGCAAGTGAGCAGTGGTGGTGGTGCTTGGGAGCGGAAGGGAACGTAAACGTCGCGCCGCGTTAAGAGACGCGCCAAGAAAGAGACACGGAGAAGAGAGAGAAATAATAATAATACCAGAAGGAAGAGGAGGGCGGGGCGTTGTGCGTCTCTCCTCTCTCTCTCTCTCTCTCTGTGTGTGGTGGGGGGGAGCGGGGAGGGGGGCTCTTTTTTGGTGCTCTTGTTGATAGACGATTCTTCTTATTTGCTCTTTTTTTTCGTCTTTTTTTTCCCGGGCCGAGAAAAAGTCATGTGCAATTGCGGTGGCTACCTTTTCTTTCTTGCTGCAGGGCGCATATGCACGCACACACAATGAAGGGATGAGTGTGTGTTCCGGTAATTATGCGCGATCACTCCTTTTTCGCTGGCTGATTGTGTGTGTGTTTTTTTTGTTCAGCGCGTTTTTTTTTTTTTCCTTTTTTTCCATTACGCTTCAGCGGCGACACCCTGGCGCGATGCGTGGTACCTCCCAACCATCGCCAGACGCCCTTGGGTTCCCCCGCAGACGGTCGCTGAGATGCAATGCGTCGGCGCCTGACACCATCTGCGTGTGTGTATGTGCGGAGGCGGATAGTTGGGCTTGCGGAGTGTTTATTGACGGTGATTCTTTCGTTATGGTGGTGGTGGAGGGGGTGGAAGTGACGCACGTTGTCCGGTGAGTGCTGCTGCGTCGTCCGTCGCACCGCCCTGCAGCCCCGTCGCACACGCGCGTGTACGACGCATGACCCGGCACCCGCCACCAGAACGCGTGCTAACGAGGCAAAGAAACGAAGCAAGACAAAAAAAAATGTGTTTGGTGTGTGTGTGTGCATAAGGGGGAACAAGAAATATCCGCATTGGCAGTGAAGCGAGCTGTATTCGTTAATACCGTTGTCACCATCGCCCCAGTTTTCTCTGTCTCCGTGGCCTCCCCCTTCTCTTACCATTATGTCGGCTCACTCACATCATGTCGCACTCCATCGTTGCGTTCTGGCGTGCGTGTTTGTCCTTGCCCCTTCTGGCGTGCAACCCGGTAATTTGACTGTCTTCCGGGGAAAGGAAGGGTGTTGCGATTTCCCTCCGCCATGCATGCATGATCCTTCTCTTCTTGGATGTTGTGTGCGTATCCCACCCGTGTGTGCTTGCACGAAGGGAAGAAAGGGTGTAGCAACGTCATAGGATTGTCAGGGTTAGCCTACACACACAGTAGGTGAAAGAACGTGAGAGATTTGAGAGTGGGGAAAAATAAAAAGGAAAAGCTAGGATCGATTTTTATCGGCCTTCTGGTCACACACACAAATTACGCGACAGTCAGGAGGAGGGTGAGGAGCCGCAGCAGGCAAGGCGAAGAAAACATGTCGAAGGTGCTGCCACTCATCAAACCGTCCCAGCCGCGGGGGCGTAATGCGTACGGCAGCTTGGGGCCCCACCAGTCGGGGTCATGTGCTCCGTCCCCTTTCCGAGAGGCGAACGGTCAACTCACACAAACCGTTGCGCTGACGGCGCGGCAGCCCACGATTCGGGCACCCTCTCGCGAAATGGAGTTCTCGCTGGGCCCCGTTCAGGAGCGATACTTGCCACCGTACAACGACCTTGATGACCCACATCTGGCGCCGTACTGGGCCCGCCGTGAGATGCTAATACGCGAGCTTGCTGAGCGGCGGATTGAGTTGCGGCGACAGCGCCGGCTATTGCTGAAACGCCGCGAGATCGAGCGTCGGCGGTTTGAGCGTCGGCGCCGGCGGGAGTTGGAGGAAATTTCAAACAAAGTGGGTTATGCGTCACTGCGGCGCCTAGAGGAAGTGGATGAGGGAAAGCCGCAGCTGTCGCGTTCTGCGAGCAAACATCAGCCACGACCGCCGCCAAATAACAGCAGATCCACCTCTAACATCCGCCGTCAATCACAACGGAGGTACGGTGTCTCTGCACAAAAACAGCACCCTTCATCGGCCCCGGGCGGGGCTGTGGCTGATCATCAAAGGACGACACCGGTCACGAGGCGAGTCAACGCAAAGGCAGTCAACCCGGACCCCTCACCCAGCACGGCGGAGCAACGCAATGCAAAGGAGAAACCTACAGAAACGACGGCAAAGAAAACACCAAAGAAGAAAATACCAGCACCAGAAACAACAGAAACCACCACAGACGTGGCGCCAACAGCGGTTGCAACAGTAGAGGAGGTGGAGTATGCCGGACATCATTCCTTCCCAGACGACTCGATGGGGAGTGCAACTCTACAGGAACCTGATACACAGATAGTGACAACAGAGGGACCCAAGCTTGCCACAACGGCTGAAATAAAACACAAGTCCAATGTATCATATTCATCGTCATCGCGGTCCTCTCCCTCATCATCGCGCAGCTCCTACAACCACAACGAGGAGAAAAAGGACAAAGAAAATGACGGAAAGCAATTCACATCATCTAAAGAGGAAGAGAAACAGCAAGTCGTGTCACTCTCTGTAGAGGCTCTCACCGCCCCTCAAGAGCCAAAGGAGACTCCGCAGCTGGAAATTGAAACAAAGAAGGACGAGTACCCCATGGGCGATGACTTTGAGTCGCCCACTTCGTCCCTCAAGGAGCAGCACCATGCGGCGCCGCTCTCCGCAGTACAGGCTGGGACTCCAGAGGAGGTGAAGCACGACACCCCGAAGAAGGACGAGTACCCCGTGGATGATGACTTTGAGTCATCCACTTCCTCCCTCAAGGAGCAGCACCATGCGGCGCCGCTCTCCGCAGTACAGGCTGGGACTCCAGAGGAGGTGAAGCACGACACCCCGAAGAAGGACGAGTACGCCGCGGATGATGACTT